CTCCCCCATATTTAATCTCACAAGCCTAGTGATTTGATGACGTGTTACTGTATCTCTTACCGTATTATTACTGTACTCTTGGGACCCATTCAAGTGAGTGTGTCATCTAATAACTTATATCAGCCATGACATCAACCACTAAGTGCCCCAAAGAGTAGCCTGAGGCAGTTTAAAGGCCATGGATGTACGAGTGAGATGGACCTGGATTTGAGCTGACTGCCATTTACCATATGAAGATGTCGGAGGCTCAGATTCTTCACCTACTGAAGAGGGCGGGTCAGTGACATCACTTCAGAGTTCTTATGAGGTTATTAGGTGACATAATAATGTACTGTACCTAACCTAGCACAATGACTGAAATGGTCACCACTGGACAAACACTGGTTCTTCCCTTTCTCTTCTTAAGTGAAAAGGGGATTTTTCAAGGAAACTCCTTAGTGCTATCAAAGGCAGAACAGAAGGAAACGAGTCCTACATGCTAGGAAGGGGCTTGAGACTACAACTTGGTGAAGAGAGCCTAGATGTTAGACTGCTTGTAGAAAAACCAGTCACTGCTGAGGCAGTTGAAGAAAATGGAGCTTCAGCTAACACCCCTTACCTAATGTTCTTCCATTTAAAAATCTTTAGAAAGGGATAATTTAAAATACAAAAGAAAATGCTTTTGAGACCAGATAAATTGGTGTTTAGTGAATATGTGGTCATCTATAGAATATACCAAAAAGAGGGGACGCTACAGTTAACTCTGCCTGTAGAAAACCTAAAAAAGGGCAAAAACCCCCAAAGCCTCCTGATGAGGAAAATGAGACTTTCTTGGGTCCTATATTCTCTGTGGACTACTTTTTCTAGTGCATGGACTTCCACACCTTTTTTGCAACACCCTCTATTCCTGGTACTGTTCTCCCAACCCTCCACACTTCCCCGGTGTCTGCCTAGACTGGCGTGCCTCCCTGAACAGTTAGTTTTAATCCCATCCTGCCCCCAAATCCAAAGACAGTGTCTGCTTGTACCTTCTTTGCTATTCTAGATTCTCAGATGTTGCATCTAACCATAAACCTGGAACCTATTTTGTGACTGAAATCTGAACAGTGCTGCTTCTTCTTAGGTGGACTCTAAAGTCTTTATGCTTGAGTCTGTTCGGCTTGAATACCCACCCAATTTCTTCTACTGGCCACGTTCCTCCCCAGTGTAGAAATTCAACTATCCACATCACCAGCCAGCCTGGCTTTCAACTACTGGTGGAGGGGAAGGGAGAGGAATAAACCAGTTACCCTTGGAGCAAGAAGTATATATATATATTCAAAGAATCCCTAAGTCCAGTGCATTTAAATGCCCAGGTAGAAATAAGCTAACTGGGGGAAAATATTAGTATTGTGAATCTTATTACTTCAAAAGGCACACAGCAGTTTGTATGAGCGGGATGGCCCTGGAAAATGAGCATATTTACCTTGTGACAGTCTTTCCCCCTGGGGACTGATGAGCTGAGGCTTCTGGGACATTGAATTCCAATACTGAGGCTTCCCTGGCAACACGCCTAGTCCAAGGTAACCAGGATAGAGCTCTGGAAACCACTCCAGCCCCAGGGAGCCATGAAGGGTCTTCCGGTCGGCAATTTCCATCTGCCCGGTGAAGAGGGTTTTGGAAGTACAATGCTGGGTTGAAGGTAAAGACGGCGGGCACTCAGGGTGTAAGGCTTGGGGCCCACAGCCAGATCTGGGCTCCAGAAAGGCTTGCCCCTCCCTTTCCATCAATGCCTTTCCATTAAGGACTTGATTAGGATCGCAGGCTGCCGCTTTCTCTTCTTGCAGAAATTTTATAGCCAGAGACGCAAGACTTTGATTATGTGGCTGTGATATAGAAAGAAATTCATTGCAAATCGTCTGCCTTGGCATGAACAAATCTAAACTGGGACCTTCGCCTCGAGATTTCTTCTCTGTGGCTGGTGCATCCATACTGAAGTTCTCAGAGCTGCTGTTCCTGGAAGGGCGCGCGTGCATTTCCGTCACAGATACAGTTTCCTTTGTGTGTCCTTTGCTCCCACATGCCTCTACTCCAAGGTCAAGTCCTTTTCCCGGGTTGTCCTGGACTTGGACTTTACCTAAGGGGCTGACTTGAAAACCTAAAATTTGTGATTCTGTGTTCTTTTTCTCCTTCTCAGGGTCTCTAACATCAATATACATTTCTGAGAGGTGGTCCTTGGCCTTGGGATCTCTCGCATCACTTGAATACGACGTTCTTTCTCTTTCATCTCCATAATTGAGCTTCATGGGAGAACTATGATAATCACCAGTCGGCATATCTAGTAATTTTACTAGAAGCTTCTGTTTTGAGGGATCAATTGTGTCCAAGTTTAACGTAGCAGAAGTGGCTTGTGCATCATTAGGTAAGGCTGAAGAATATTTTCTATCTTGATTTGACAAAGAAGGTTCCATTGGGCCAAAAGGTAAAGATGCTTTAGTTTGTGACGGATAACTTCTACTCTCCCCTGATTGAGGCAAATCTTTTGCCAGTTCCCTTTTAGGAGTAGCGTTCTTTAATGCATAAAACTGAGCCTTAGCTTCTTCCTTGAAAGTAATCTTTGGTTCAGGATTTTTTGCCATTGTGAGGGAGAGTTGAGTTTGATTTTTGGTGTCATCATCACTTGCCTTTGTATCACCTGCTCTTTCCAGACCAATAGCTGGTAGTGGAAGGGGCTCAGCAGTCCGTTCTGGTTTGTCCCTCATCAACTTACTATTTCTTTTCTCACTCTTTGTCCCCAACTCTCTCTCTTTAGCTTTAGTCAAGTCTTTGATTGGACTTTTCCTTTTCTTAGCATGTGGGAGTGTAGCCTGCTCAGACTGACAAACATTTTGATCAGCAGGTATAGTTAGTTTTATCATCTTACAATGTGGCAAATGGGATTTTAATCGTTTAAAGGGCTTCTTACAGTAAGGACACACGTCCATTCTGGTGGAATCTCACTCTCCTATACCTGAAAAAGGTACATATGAGGTTATGAGGAGCACATAATTTGTAAATGCCAACATTTCATTTATTTCATACCTTTTAAATTCATTTGGTTAAAGATCATTTATCTAGGTTAAAGATAATTTTTTAAAGTTTGTTTCGATCTATTCTTTTTCTTATGAAGATAGAAAACAGAAGACACAGGTTGCTTTTTAGAAAAGCATCCCCAGTTCCACTTAATTTACATTAGGAAGTCTTCTAGGAAGCAATCCTTGCAGAAGACAATCAAATCCACATCCCTGACTAGGAGGTAAGGAAGACCGACTTCCAACTAATGAATTAATGGTTAGTGGAAGGAAAAGATGTTCAAATAACAGTCAGAATAAAAGGTTTGCTACTGAAGGTTGTAGCCAGTCCACTGGGTATCACATGAGTGTAAAAAGAAAAAATTGTCAAAAACCTTTAAACACATCATTCAAGCAAATAATGGTGAAGAATAAAAAACTCAGGCCAGGATTTGAAGGTGGCTGATTATAGCAGTGGTTTCTAAAGTGAAATCTATGGAAGAACCACAGGTGCAAGGAGAAAATATTATAACTCCCATTGTCTAAGCATCGAAGCTCTAGCAACATTTAACATATCAGTAAGTTCCAGGGGGCAAAGACATGTGTAGTCTGCGCACAGCTGTGTTCTCAAAACCTCCCACTGAGCCTGGATGTGATACTCGCTCAGTGAAAACTTTCTCTGCACATAAACACACAAGTATCATTATCAAGTGCTGTAAGTATGAATATCTTCTAACCCCTGGGTCAAAGCGTGAGCTTCCGAAACCGCTTACAAAATAAGGAAGTATAACCTTGGCCATTGCGTGCATCATCCAAGTAACCAACCCACCAGATGCCACGTGAAGTCAGGCAAAGCTGTTTCCTGTCGACAGACTTACAGTTGGAGGCAACCCCTTTGGCAAGACGATGAAAGTTACGGGCCGTTTACTTACAAAAACACACAAGTGAGGCCAGTCCCTGCGCCTTACTCCACCCTCACCCTTAACGTCGTTAGAACAATCTCTTTATCCACAGATGGGGACGTCTTATCGCGAGTTTACAACTGCTTTCTTACCCGAGCTGCTTTCCGTACGCAGGTGCTAATTCTGCGGTGGTCTCTCCCGGATCCCCATGCTTCCCGCTCGCCGATCCCGAGTTTAGCAGAATCAAGTTAGGTTTCCACGTCAGCCTATGCAAGACACCATCAGAGAAGCCGGTCGGCTGAGCCGCAGGCAAACCCCCGGGTTACCAGTAGGGCAGTGCTCCTTCCGTTTTCGGGAAGCAGGGAGTTAAGACTTCCCCCGCCTCCCGGGCACCGGGCCGATCTCAAGGTTACCCTAATCTTAGCCCTCACCGCCTGCGCTCTCCAGCGGACCTTTCCTTCCCCGTCCCGCCTCCCGGCTCCCTTACTGTTCGAAAAGCTGTCTGGCAGCTTCCAGCGGAGTGGGCGGGGACTGCCAGGCAGCTTCCAGGTCCGAGGCCGGCCTCCCCGCAGCCCTGGCCCGAGGCGCCGGAGCCGCTGGGACGCCGAAGGGGGCTCATTCTGCGGCTCCGGAAAGCCCTCCATCTGTTCCGCCACCCGATCGACACCCCTCGCGGCTCAGGATAGTCGCCCTGACATAGGCACCCAGCCGTCGAGACTCCCCTAGACCAGTGTCCTCACCTCCCAAGACCTTAAAGTCCTGGAAGCCCCCGCGACAAGACCCCCAGAGCATCCCACAAGCAGCTTCCCAACGCCCGGTCGCGTCTACATAACTGCCTGATGCTTCGCAGCTATTTTTTAAAAAATCATTACCTCACAGGGACCTAAACTCAAATACTTATTTCTTATTATTATGACATAAGTTGATTTCATTTAACTCTGGCTCGACTTTTACACTGCCCCCCGCTAGGTTGCGACCAGGCGAAAGCTCCAGACACCTCTAGTGAGGTCCTTTTCTCACAGAGGTTCTCAGTAGCTCCTCCCCCTCCAAGCCCGCCTCTTCCCGTGGGCGGGGTTACCGGTCGGCGCGCCCGGGATGCGTCACTGCGCAGCCGCGAGAGGGCGGTACCACGGCGGCTGCGACATGGGGGGGCGCGGAGCAGACGCCGGAAGTAGCAGTGGTACGGGTCCCACCGAGGGGTACTTAACACCGGCCGAGTCCACCCGTGCCGCGACGAGAGCCAAGGCCCGACGGGGTGGGCGTGGCGGCCGCCAAAACACCACACCCTCGGCCCCCTCCTCTCGCGGAGCGCCGCCGCGTCGCTCCCCTCCACCGGCTGCCATGAGCGAGCGCCTCCGCCCCAGGTGAGACCAGAGGGACCCCCGTTCCTTCCCGGCCCCTCTCCGCTTTCTTGGAGGGTGGGGCGCTCGAAGCGGGGTCCGAGCCAGCGCGGGCCTGCGGGTGTTATTGTCAGGGGGAGGAGGGGAGCGGGCTGTGCGTGTCTCGGCACCTGACCCCTGCGGGTGCTGGTGGAGGGACTCCAGGGTCCAGGTCTCCCCACTCCCCCATCTCCCCCGCCCCATCTTTCTCTGTTTCGAATGAAGTCTGGTCGGTCCCGGAAGAGAGACGCCGGCCCTCCAGCGTCCCTGTCCTAAATTTAGGAGGGTGGGGGGAGGGGAGGAATGTCTGATCTTCGAGTGGGAGCTCCTAGTGCATCTTTGGGGCTGGGGGAAGAGGGTTGCGGGGCTGCCGGCTCCCCAAGGTCAGAAAGAAGGCCTGGGGTTGACCCTGCTGCGGGGAGGGGTGATGTGGACGGAAGAATTTGGGCCCCGGGCGGCTGTGAACGCGGGCGGGCAGATGACCGGAGGGGCTGATGCGGTCCCTCAGGCCGCCGCACGGAGGGAACTGACCGGGTTCTAAACTGTTTGGAGGCGGAGCCGTTTGACTCCGGAGGCGGAGGGAGGGAGGCTGGTATGGCGACGCACTGCTGTTCCCCGGAGCCCGGCCTCGGGCCTGGGGCAGGGCGGTTGGGCTCGCTGGGCGGGCTGGAGTCGAGTCCGGGCCCGGCTGCGATGCTTTCCTCTTCTGCCGAGAGACCCCTGTGACCGCGTGGAGAGGAGGGAGGCCGGCGGATGGACCTGCGTCCTTCCAGGTCCCCGGGGCTTCCCTTTGCTCCATAATAGCCTCTGGGGCAGTGGTTCTCAACCTTCCTAATGCCGCGACCCTCTAATACAGTCCCTCATGTTGTGGTGACCCCCCCATTTCATCGTTACAAATTGAACATAATTAAAGCATGGTGATTAGTCACAAAAGCAACATGTAATTATATATGTGTTTTCCGGTGGCCCTAGACGCCCAAAGGGGTCGCGACCCACAGGTTGAGAACCGCTGCGTGGGGGGGGGGGCTGTCTAAGGGAATAGGCTGGATCGCCCTGACGCATAATGCCGTTTATTCTCTCGTCCCACGTCTTCATGGGCTCTGGATGGAATCGACTACCTTTCCCCCAGGACCCAGCCCTGGAGGATAGTCAGTGCTTCCTGAGGTCCTCCGGTCCCGGAGCGAGAAGCTGTGGTTCCTCCCACTTGTGCGTGGGATTGCCGACTTGGGCCAGCCACGCAGGGAGTGAGGCGTACAGCGCCTCTGTGTAGGGAATAAGACTAAATACATTTGACTTTAGGGGCCCAGTGACCCCTGACCTGGCGGGGTGGGGAACAGAGCCCTTCCGCGCCGTCGGCTTGGTCTGACTGCCATTGTCTTTTCCTTCTCAAACCCAGTTGATGGTTTTTGGGTCGTCTCTCGGGATGTCTCACGTGTCTGAGAAAGTCAAAATATTTCGTGCAAAAAGATTCCCTTTTATCCAACCCCGTGCACAAAGGACTGTTTACCCTGGTGGCAGATTTCCTTTCCTCTGGGACGCAAGAGATGCCGACATGTTTGTACTGGTCACTTGTTACTGTCAAAGAGGCCTGGACGGGTTTCCCGCCTACTTTTCTCTTCACCCCAAGTCCCACGGTGCCCGAGGGACCTGTTCTGCCAGCCCCAGCTCTCTTGGTATCTCCGAGTTAGTTCACGCCCCTGGGTCTCTTTCCTCAGCTTCCAGGTGAAGCGTTGGTCAAAGATGGTGGTGTACGTACTGGGGTGGCGGTAGAGGAGTGGGTGTGTGTCAAGGAAGCCCTTTCTGTAAGGGCGATCCTTGATCCCACGTATTGCGGGATTTATTTGTGTAGTTATTTTTCCCAGTAGGAAGGACGGGTTCTGTTACTTCTGTGCCCAGTCTCTAGATGACAGTGAGATTGGGGAGAAATGAAATGATGGAAAGTGATGGAACCAGCCATCCTTAGAAGGAGTAGATGCTAAACAATAATCTGTTAACTAGTTGGCTAGGGAGACTAGGATCAATTACAGGGCGGCTGCTAAAATTATAACCTGGTCTGTGGCATTAATGTGGAAAGTTATAATCTGACTGATTGTGTGGATAGGCGTGGGCATGAAGTGTAATCTTTCCAGTTATTAACGATAATGTTGAAAGAAGAATGTTTCAGGGACAGAATCTGCAGAGTCTAGAAAAAAAGTGAATTGAAGAACAAGTAGGGCTCATTCTTAACCCAGTTCCATCCAGAAGAGAGGGCCCCCACCAGGTACAGAGAATTCTGGCACCTTGAGAAATCAGCTGAAGATGAATGAGGCGGGGCTGTTTCATGCGATCTTCCCAGAGTTGAGTGAAGTCGGCGAAAGCAGCCCATCCTCTGTTCTTACACTCTGTTGGCTCCTGACATTCACATTCTTGTCACTGGGAAGATGTAGTCCCCATTATAAATGAGGAAATCGGAAAGTTTTGGTCAGGCTCCTAAGTTTGGTAAGAGTGACTCAGCCCAAAGCACAATCAGCTGTTGTCACACTGATAAAAGTAGAATTTGGGACCAACATACTGCTGTTTCATGAGTTTCTTGGGGTGTCCACTGGCTTCCATTGGACATTGCTCTATAACTTCTTCATATTCCTGTGAACATTCTCTGGTCAGATGAGAATGAAAGTAGCAATTTCTTGGCTCAAATCGATGCTAAAAACATCTTTAATGATTATTAAAACCTGATATCCATCTACTTTTTAGCTTCTAAGTACTTCAAAATAACGTGTAGATCTGACCCAGACTCCTGGGAGAAAGGTCGGGAAGCAGAAGTGATGATCTTATTTTGCAAACAGCTGAGCCTTAGAATGAGATAAGTGGCGTAGCCCTCTTCCTGTTGGTTGGTTCATGCTTTATCAGAACCGCACACCCACTATTTACCCTAAACTGAATCCAAACTCATTCATGACGTTAGAGGGACTCAGAATGCAGGAACTGAGTGCAGGATGGTAAGGTTTCTTCGCTGTCCAGACTTCAACTCAGAACTTTAGGATGAAGGGCCTGTCCCAATAAGCCACCCTCCTCACATAAGAAGTTACTATATGGCCCAATTCAGTACTTTCCAAAAAGCTGTTTTTTCCTCTAGCTCTAAAAATTTGGACCTTTAAGAGTTTGCGCTACAGTAGATGCCGCTGCCCCGTGTAACTTGGCCTCCAGGCAGCACTGTCCGGTGGCGTTGTCTGCAGCGACAGGAACCTGCTCTGTCTGTGCTGTTCAGTGCAGCTGCCGCTAGCTGAAATGTGGCTAGTGTGACTTAGGGACTGGGTTTTTAATTGTATTTAATTGTCATGAATTAAAATTTAAATAACCACATGTGTTAGTGGCTACCATATTGGACAGCACAGTTCCAGGCAATTTGACTTAAAATTATACCTCCCATAATTTATTTCTCTTGTCTAACTGGGGTTTGGAAGTTCTTCTGACAACACTTGGTTCTTGCATAGAAAACATACGAATTTTGTCTCTGTTGCACATCTTAGAACACACGGAACTGAGAAAGGTGTCTGATTTTTCTTTAAATTTGTACGTTTTAAGCAGCTTATGCCATAGTCTCAAAGAAACAATCTGGTCAAGTAATTTATACCATAACACTAGGTGCTATCGCCAGAATAATCAAGTCTGTGTTCAAGAACAGCTTTTCCAGGGTTTGTCCAGAAAAGTAATTTAATACTTTGGAGGGCATAGAGCTTTTGTTTAATGTGGCAATTGGGAGAAAATCAGGGATGAAGAAAAACTAAAGATTAGCGGCTACCATGAATCTCTATGGATATTCCTGGGTAGCACCATTTTCATATGGACTTTAAGGGTAAAATAGGCATTGTCACATGGAAGGGAGCAAAATGAAGTAACTTGGAATTAGAATTTCAGGAAATGTAGAAAGACCATAACCTTAATAAGGTGGAATTTAAAAAGCTCAATCATTACTGTCTTCCTGCTCTTATTTATTCACAGTAGGCATTTAAAAAGCTTCTTTTGCAAAATCAGTCACACCAATTTCAGCCCCACCTTACTGCTGCTATTTTATGTTTTTGCTCTTAGTGTGCCTAGTGATGGTGTGCTTCCAGTTTTAACCTATGGGGATATCATAGGCTGAATTATATTTTTTCAGGCAAGAGGGAAAATTTATATGTTGTCATGGTTTACAGTTTTAAGTGTCTGAAAGGTGAACGGTTGATTTTTTTCTCTCCTCGTGATTTAATTTCAGGAAAAGGAGAAGGAATGGCAATGAAGAGGACCACCATCTCCCCCCACAGACCAAAAGGAGTAGCAGAAACCCTGTCTTTCACGATTCCTGGGACACAGAGGTAGGAATTGCAGCGTTTCAGCCTTTTCTTGAGCCATGGCCCCTTTGAGGAAGCTTTGCACCTTCCCCAGCAAAACAGTCTATGTCTGCCCTAGTCAGGCATGCTCCCCCCAAAATCTGTTTTGTTAGAAGTTTCATGAGCCTTTGCAAACCCTTCTTTGAACCCTCTATTTATATTTCACAAACCAACCCATTTTCAAATAGTTTATGAACCGTAATTGTCTTTAAGGTAAGCATATTTTGTTGCTTCAGTTCACATATCTGTAAGAATATATAATGTATATGTACGCAGAATCCTGTTTTTCAATGTTTTCACCCTTTCATTGTGCTGTCACAAAGCTGCTCCGGAGGCAGAGTAGCGTGAGAGGGAAAGAGAGCTCCCAGGGTTCTGGCTTCCTGAGGGTGCTGCGTATGCATGCCGGGAGAAGTGCTCGGGAGGCTGAGCCACAGTGCCGAAGGGAAGCTCACATTGAAGTGATGCTGCTATTAAATTAGGTGCCTAACGATTTAGATCAGCGGTTCTCAACCTGTGGGTCGCGACCCCTTTGGGGGTCGAACGACCCTTTCACAGGGGTCGCCTAAGACCATCGGAAAACACATATAATTACATATTGTTTTTGTGATTAATCACTATGCTTTCATTATGTTCAATTTGTCACAATGAAAATACATCCTGCATATCAGATATTTATATTACGATTCATAATGTAGCAAAATTACAGTGATGAAGTAGCAACGAAAATAATTTTATGGTTGGGGGTCACCACAACATGAGGAACTGTATTAAAGGGTCGCGGCATTCGGAAGGTTGAGAACCACTGATTTAGACCCTTGACAGGTACCACCTAACAGAAACTCCTCAATGGCAAACATTCCTAAGCTTCAGAACTTCAAGCAGAATTCTGTATATCACAATTCTTGCACAACCAGATAATTTGCATTTTAATTAGTTCTTGATAACAGGACTTGACTTATATCCAGTCTTTGCCAGAAATCCAAAGTAACTCCCCCCAGGGTGGGGGTCTGTAACTGTCATGTGGGGAAGACTCATTCAGGAACAACTAATGAAAAGTGTAGCTCGAGCCTTCTACATCAAGCATGTCAAACTCACGGCTCACAGGCCGCATGCCTCATTTATTTGGCCCATGTTAGCCTTTGAGTTTGACATGCTTGTTCTACATGGAGACGTGAGTTTCTATAGCTTTTATCTCTCTTTTGAAATTTTTCCTATTATACTTTTTCTTCCTTTTTAAAACATGATGAAAAGTTATTGACCTTTGTTTAAAGTGGTAATTGGGGAATCTCAGGGATGAAAGAAACCATACTTTAGAGGCTACCGTGAGCATCTGATGATAAAATACTAACACTAATTGAGTCTCCATTTTTCTTTTTCTGTTTTTACTAATGGTAAGGGCCTGAGGGGCAGGGGGAAAGGCAGGGGTGTGCTCCCGGGAAGGAGAGAACCCATTATTCTTTTGAATTATAAGACTGTTCCTTAAAAGAGGATGCAGTGATTACTTTCATGGTGTCGGCGTGAATATTTCTTTACTTGTATCTGTATGTAAATTCTGCTGTATGATATTCACAGTCGTTTGAAGGTACAGTAGTAAGTTTAACTGTTTGTATTGGTCTTTTCCCCTGATATCTAACATTTTTGATGCCTGAGAACAGGAATGTAAATTGTTAGGTTTAAAAAAAATTAAACATTTCTGATCTCTTATTTTTAGACACACTCCTTAGGATTCGTTTTCATTGCTGTTTGTAGAAAATGACCTGCACTCCCTTTCTAAAACCCGTGTATTGGTGTGACAGAAGAAAACAGTGTGTTGTTACTCAACCTGTAGGTTACTATGTCTTGTTCTTACTTGTCCAAAGAAATTCAGTGGCTAAGCAGCTATGTAAATCATTAGGCTGGGGACGGACTACGTTGTCTTTGTTATAATTTACAGTCAGTGCAGGTACTTCTTATCTGTCATGGTATCTGCACTCACCAGTAGCCCTCTCGGGCAGTGGTAACTTGGACCCTCTGTCTCAGCTGTGCTGGCTGGACATCTACCAGCTGTCTGAGCGAGTGGCCTGTGGTGCTGTGCTTCTCCAGCGGTGGCATTAACAAGTAATGAGGCCTGCGAACCCAGGGAGAGCTAGAGAAGCAAAAGGCAGGGGAAAGTCTTCAAAGTGGAAAGTTAAGCCCTGAATAATTGAATCGTCACCCCTGGAATAGATCATTATGCTTGTAGCCATAAATAGCAAGTTTGGGGTTATTTGGCTGCTTTTTGACATATATAAAAGGGAAAGCAGTAAAAGGATTCCTTATAAATGGATTATTTTATTAATTTACATGACAAGTTATCTTATTGATGAAAATGTTACTTTTTAATTCTAAGGTAGGGCAGAGGTAAGTTTCCTTAAGACTAACTCAGTTAAGAGAAACCGTTTCCTTTGTTGTTCCTGAAATACTTAAATAATTTTAGAATTCCTTTAAAAAAAATACATTTTATTGATTTTTTACAGAGAGGAAGGGAGAGGGATAGAGAGTTAGAAACATGGATGAGAGAGAAACATCGATCAGCTGCCTCCTGCACACTCCCTACTGGGGATGTGCCTGCAACCAAGGTACATGCCCTTGACCGGAATCGAACCTGGGACCCTTCAAGTCTGCAGGCCGACGCTCTATCCACTGAGCCAAACCGGTTAGGGCTAGAATTCCTTTTTTCGTGACTTGAAGAACTTTCATTTGGAAGGAAAATTTAATTCTAAGATTTAAAATTCCCAAAAGTTATCTTTTTCTCCTAAATGTAATAATATTGGCAAGCACTGTGAAGTAAGATGTGAGGTCGTTTTTGTTTATTTTGTTTTTGAGGTGTTTGATTTCTGTTAAACTATTAAACTATGCCACAAGTAAATGGTAATTGCCTGGAAATTGGAGCCAGTTCGGGCCTCTTTCTTCCTACACACCATGGAGCTAAGGAATGTGCACTGACTCGCCAGATGAGTGACGTAGAAAGAAACTTCCACTCTGCTTGTGCATTTCTTCCTGCCATTCCGGCAGGTATTATCATTTCTATTATCATTGTCGGATGGAAATGTTGGGGCACAGAAAAACGTAAAGCCACTTGCCCAGAGATACACAGCTAGCAAGAGGCAGGATCAGTGAGCCTCAGGGCTTCACTGTTGAGCAGCTTGCTCCTCGCCATGGCGTGTGCCATCTCCTGGAAGAGCCAGTGGGGGTTCTGGGAAGCTGTGCTAACTATCCAGGGGCAGCAAGGTCCTTGACTTGGCAGACATCATAGAAACAGAAGAATAGCTGGAAAGTGTCCCCAAGTCAATGCTATAACATGGTATTAGCAAGAAACCATTTTTGATTTCTATCTATGCAGAATAAATACAAAAAAGACTTTGGGGTCTAGTATGTTTTTGTAGTTGTTGTTTGTTTTTTCAAAATGTAATTGGTGTTTGAAGACCTTGAATTTGAACTCCAGTGACTTAGATTTAATGACATGTGAGCCTTGGGATGCTCTTTTTAAAATTGAGATATATATTATTACTATGGGAATAAACATTTTTCTGTAAAGCCATCATGTATGAATCATGTTAGCAGTGGCTAAGTTAGGCTTGTTTTTTCTTGATGAGCAAGAAGTGAAATATTTATCACTTTGTGTCTTCCTCTTGAGTCCTATACAATGGTAGCAACATTCCCTTGAACAACACGGGTTTGAAATATATGGGTCCATTTATGCGTTCTTTTTTTAAAGTAAATATGTACAGTACTGTAAATGTGTTTTCCTTATAATTTTTTAAATATCCTTTCTTTAGCTTACCCTATAGGATTACAGAATATAATACAGTAGGTCCTTGGGTTACGTCGGAAATCCGTTTCTACGGCGCGATGTAACGAGATTTTCGCCGTAAGTCGGAACCCACCTACATAAGCACCTACGTCACTCACATGGAGCACATACACAGCAGTAATGAAGTGAAACAGTAAAAAAAGTTTAAAAAAAAGATAACAATTTCTAACCTTTACTTGTGGTAAATAATAAAAAACATAAAGCACATGTACATACGTCGAAATGATGGAACTTTTTAAAAAATAAATACTGTAAATGGGAGATGGCAACGTAACCACGAAATGACGCATGTCGAGTCTGACGTAACCTGAGTCCGATGTAACCCTAGGGCTGCCTGTATAATATAAAATAATCCTATATAATAAAAGGTTAATATGCAAATTGATCAAAAGATGGAACGACCAGTCACTATAATGCGCACTGACCACCAGGGGCAGACGCTCAACGCAGGAGCTACCCCCTGGTGGTCAATGCGCTCCCACAGGAGGCACGCAGCTCAGCCAGAAGCTGGGCTCATGGCTGGCTTAGCTGTCAGTCGGACATCCCCTGAGGGCTCCCGGAATACGAGAGGGCGCAGGCCAGCCTGAGGGATGGGCGCCCCCCCCTCCCCCCCAGTGCACTAATTTCATGCACGAGGCCTCTAGTATAATTTAATATACAATATATATGTTAATTGGCTATTTATGTTATTTGTCTTCAGGTAAACAGTGGGCTATTAGTGGTTAAGTAGTTTTGGGGGAGTCAGAATTTATATGCAGATTTTTAACTGTTCAGGGGGTCAGCACCCCTAACCCTCATGTTCAAGGATCAACTGTATTTGGCAAGCATTGTCCCGAGTAGTTGGTGTCAACTTGGATGTCTCCATTTCCTTCCTGTGTCCCATCTCCCTCTGGGGTACGACACACATCCCTTCATTGACATTGCCACAGTCCTCATGCTGGCCTGCTCTCCTGCTTGATGTTCTAGAAAACTTCCCAGTTGGCCCCTGCTCGATCTCCATGACCTCGTTCGTCTTAATAGGTCCCTAGCTTCCTCACTCCTAAGTGCAGATCTGAAAACATCTTACATGCTTGGAAACTGTTCCTGCAGACTTGGGGCACCTATAACCTAGCCATGACCTCTCATGTATATTTTGTCTCACTAACGCTTCCTGGAGTGGTGCAGCCAACACCATCTTTAGCCTTTCCTCCCCAGAACACTCCCGATTTTGCTTATTCTCCCATTTTGTCACACCCTCCTTGTAAAAAGATTCTTCCTCCTCCTCTAGGTCCATTCAGACACCATCCATTTTAAGGAGCCTCTCTCCTCACTCCCTCGTCCACACCTATGCTAGATTCCTGTCACCTCAGTGGCTGTGTACTGTCCTTATCAGTGGCTGTATTGTCACCACATTCTTGATGAAGTTCAGTAAATAAATGACCAGGGAGCCCAGTGCACTGCTTCCCGAGCTGGGGCCCTGGCATGTTTTCAAAAGCCTACAGGTGATTCTAAAGTGGACTGCATTCTTCCGGGCCTTATCTGCAGTTACCAGGGTGCACAAGTAGGTTTCATTACTGCCTGCGCTAACAGAATCCTCCCTTTCACACAGTGCTTCGCCACAGGGTTCTTGGGAGCTGCCTTTGTGTATTTAGAAAGAGACTCTCGATCAGAATCTTCATAAACTTAACTTTGTGCTTGTGTACCTGGACTTGCAAGGGTTTTTATTTCACAGATCATGACCTTACTCTCTTTTGATTTGTAATACAAAGTTGTCATTGAAAATAACCTGGTCAGAGTCAGCACTCAGCCCAAATTGAAAAGTCAGAGGAAAGAAATGCGCTTTGTAACCTCGGATTTGGATAAATGGTCTGTAAGGAGTCAGGAGCCTGGGGACAGGGATCCTAGTTGATGAATCTTTCTCAGTCCCAAAGTTTCTGGACTCTTTCAGTACAGAGCGTGTTCAAGTCTTTCAGAGCAGGAATAGTAACAAGGTACAGACTGTACCAGTTCTCGAGTAGTGCCCCCCGCCCTCCTACCCCAAGGATTTGATATGAAAAGGTGCCACTTGGTGGGGGAAATATAATTTTTTTTTTCCTATTTCAAGTGTGTGTGTATCTTTTTGTTTTTTTAATATATTTTATTGATTTTTTACAGAGAGAAAGGGAGAAGGATAGAGCTAGAAACATGGATGAGAGAGAAACATCGATCAGCTGCCTCCTGCACACCCCCTACTGGGGATGTGCCCGCAACCAAGGTACATGCCCTTGACCAGAATCGAACCCGGGACCCTTCAGTCCGCAGGCCGATGCTCTCTATCCACTGAGCCAAACGGGTTAAGGCGTGTGTTTTTTTATAAGCCGATTTATCTCTGTATATCTTAAAACACTGATAGAGTTAAAATTTGATGTTATGCCTTTAGGGTTAAAAGTAAATGGTCTTGATCCCATCAAGTAGAACACTTTGCTGGCCGAGTGTTAATAAGACCGCTTACAATGACTTTCAAACATTTTTGACCCTGTCCCATAGGAATGTTTTATTTTATGGCCCAGTACATACCACATATATTTGTGAATAATCGAAAAAAGTGTCACAACTGCCCTCACCCTGTTGCACTGTTTTCTTTTCTGTGCTGCTTGCTCCCCACCAGTGGGTTTCACCATCCATTTGAAAAACACTCGTCAGTCTGTGAGGTACTCGCGAAAGCCTCTTGGAGAGCGAGAAGACTTGAATTGGCAGACAGTAGAGCCAAAGGATCGTGAAAGAGACGCATTATTTTTACCTTGGATGACAGGAGTCTATATCTGATACTTCAGGACTCCATCCTGGTTCTGTGTGGGCCGTCTCTTATTAGTTTGAAGGTATCATTGCCCTCCTCAATGCAAGTGAATACAAATGAGGCTGTTGGCAAGGTTCTTAAGTAGCTCAGGGAGGCCAGCAGTCTTTCTGAAATCCTATGAACAGAATCTATCTATCCATCTCTCCATCTATATCAGTGGTTCCCAGCGTGGGGCACCTGCCCCACAGGGGGGCAATTTGAGGATGAATTATTAGTGAATTTTTTGCATTTCTTATGGTTTTAGGGACTTCATATACAGTATATAAATATATAGTGACATTTATGCATTGCAGTTCTCTATTATATGTTTTGAAACTTTATTTGCTAATTTTTTGTATCATTTCATATTATTATTTTTTAACAATTTCTTAGTAATTTCTTCCTCAGTACTTCAGCTGTCCTTTCGTTGTTTTATTTTTCTCTTTCATGGATGCCATGTTCTTTGGAAACTTGTTTAGACCAAGCTAATGATCTTTTAGGCTTCCTCCACGTGAATAGGAGTTCACTTTTTGAATAAGAATTATGTGTCATGGGCAGGGGGATGCCATCAGGATTTTAGAGATGTTCAGGTGGGGCATGGCCAAAAGAAGGTTGGGAGCTACTGATCTCTATATATAAGTCTTAGAATTAACTAAAGACCTCTATTTTGTAGCAATATTCTCACTCATGATCATTTTTCCCACAAAAGAAATCTCTTTTTGTAGAAGCTATAGAATATATAGTAAAAAAAAAAAAAATAGAAGGTCCAGATTCTAAATATTTTGGCATATATATCCTTTCAGACTATTTTTAGGATATATGTATATTTACATTAAAGAAAATCATTTTAAAACCAGCTGACATACTATATATACTGTTTTGTAACCTGTAAAAAAGATGTTGAAGGTTTCTATCTTGGTGTGTTAGTGTGTGTGTGTGTGTGTGTGTGTGTGTGTGTGTGTATGTAATTTTTAATAGCTGAATACAATTTCATTGTTATGAATTATAATTCATGTATTATACTTTATATACATACCAGAGGCCCAGTGCATGGATTCGTTCAGGACGTGTCCGGCCCATCTCAGTCCTGTTTGGCGGGGCCAGGGAGGGGCCGTGGGAGGGCTCCAAGGCATGTCCGGCCCATCTTGCCCAGTCCGATCAGCTGGACCCCAGCAGCAAGTTAACCTACCGGTTGGAGTGTCTGCCCCCTGGTGGTCAGTGCACGTCATAGTGACTGGTCAAACGGTCAAACTAACAGTCGGACACTTAGCATATTAGGCTTTTATTATATAGGATATTATAAATTAATCAATTTCTCTATTGTTATCCATTTTGGTTGTTTGTAGACTTCAGCTGTTTAAACAAGGCCACACTAAACATTTTTTAAAAAATATATTTTTATTAATTTTAGAGAGGAAGGGAGAGGGAGAGACGGATAGAAACATCAATGATGAGAGAGAATTATTGATTGGCTGCCGCCTGCATGCCTTACACTGGGGATCGAACCCGCAATCTGGGCATGTGCTCTGACCTGGAATTGAGCTGTGACCTCTTGGTTCATGGGTCGATGCTCAACCACTGAGCCATGCAGGCCAGGCACACTAAAGACATTTTTATATGTGTCTTTATAAAGTTACGTTACAAAAATTTTTAAATGGACTAGGAATTGCTGGTGTATTTGTGTCCCCCTCCCCCCTTTTAATGGTCATTTCTAACCTGTTTAAAGAACTTTTTACCTTTTCTCAGAATAGTGTCACCTTTGCTGTTAAGTTGTGAAATAAATATAATTTGAAACAGAAACTTGACTTACTAGAAACTGATTCTAGTTCTTGCCTTAATTTTCAGACACTACCTGTAACGAAAAACAAAGAAAACAGACTAAGAGGAAACAAAGTTTTCTGCGCGGTGGGTTTCTTACCTAGTGTAGTACCTTACCTGCTTGTTAAATATTCATGGCCTTGTGAGGCGGACCAGCGCCAATTCTAGGTTGTTACACTCTAGGTCAGGAGAGGCTGCTATGGAAAGCACGTTTGTTTTTTTTATTATTATTTAAATTGGCTTTGACTTCTTAAGTCTTCAAGTAAATGTAATTGTTGCTGTTAACACTGCCATCTGATGCCACTCAGCCCATTTATGTTTTCATGAATTTTTTTTAATTGTGGCAAGAAAGCTAGGTTGTCTCCTACTACCTGTAGGCAATAGGATATGTGACCTATGCTCAGTAGCACCAGGTGACCCATGGACCATGACAGCTCTTGGTTTAAGCCTTATTAATGATGGATGCATTTGGTGAACATGCTTTCTTTGCTGTTTCAGGCATGTTTATATGTGGGTATATTTTTAAGTACAGTGGGGCCTTGACTTACGAGTGTCCCGACTAACGAGTTTTTTGAGATACCAGCTGTCTCTCAGCCGATTTTTTGCTTTGAGTTGACAGACTAATTTGAGTTAATGAGCTCCTTAATGAGCTTGGTCTCAGAACAAATTAAACTCGTAAGTCAAGGCCCCACTGTAGTAGAATCAAAGTTACTTAGACCTCAACCCAATGTCCCTTCATCAGTTACAATTTCTCTAAAAGGACACATGTGATTTCTATATACCCATGTGGATTATAGTATACTAGAGGCCCTATGCACGAAATTCGTGCAACAGTAGGCCTTCCTTTTCCTGGCTGCCAGCACCAGCTTCCCTCTGGCACCCAGGAGCTGGGCTTCCCACTGGTCACAGGCAGGCATCTGGGACCCGGGCTTTCCTTGCAGCCTCAGCTTCATCCAGAAGATCTTCTGAATGATGTCTGGAAGGACGTCCGGTCTAATTAGCATATTACACTTTTATTATTATAGATGTATTGTTAGGTGTAACTTCTGGTATTTTAAAAATCACTTTTAAAGTATCTATCTTGAAACATTTTATTTATACATTTATTTTGGTAATGTAAAATATGTGATAACCACATTGCAAAAAATTCATAGTAAAGGGTTGAAAAAATAAGATCTGTAACCCCTCTAATTTTAACATTAGTACTATGGGCTATTTCTTTCCAGGCTTTTTTCTTGTGTGTAGATTTTACATTGTTGTAAGCAGACATTTCAAAACCAGTATCTTTAAGGGAATATAAATTTAGATGTATCAAAAGGCTAATGAGAAAAAATTTTATACCAAATCATTAATTACTAGAATTCTAACTTTTTCATGTATTATTCCTTCTAGTACAATATTGTATTGAGTTGTAAATAGAGGAGAATGCTAATTAAATGATTGCCATTGTCATTTATTAGAAATGCAGTATTTAAATTGTGTAATACCGTAGTTCTGAAGGATCCTTACCATTGCCTTCTCTTTTGAGACCCCTGCTAGTGGAAGAAAGGAGATTTCTGAGTGACTCTTGTTAGGGACCTCTGAGTAGCTTCTTCAGGATGACTAAGATACCCAGTCATGTTAGTTACATTAAAATATTAGACAGATCTGTGCACATGCACATATACACACATCGAACTGCAAAAATGCTAATATCACTTTACAAGAAGTATATTAAAATCGCAGGGTGTGTTCTGCATTCAGAGAACACCATTCGCGTCCTTGAGATAACCACAAATTGTCACAGGTTTTTATTTTTTATTCTTGTTCCCAGAAGCCATTTTATCTGTTATGAGGATACCTTTTTTACACTCTGTACCAATGAGTGATACTTATCCTTAGAGTAGGGGTGGGGAACCTTTTTTCTGCCAACTGCCGTCTGGATTTTTATAACATCATTTGAGGGCCATACAGAATTCGCCTGCTACATTTGTTCAAACATTTAATTAACTCACCTCTAATGCCATGGCAGGGCCAAGACCGAATGACTTCCCAGGCCTTATTTGGCCTCCGGGCTGGGCATTCCCCACCCCTGCCTTACAGGCTGAGAACTTGTTCCCTTGACTATTAGAAATTATTGGAATGAATGACAAGATAGAGAAGACATGTAAAGGAGTTAAGATGTAGTTGAAGGGATTTGCGGTAGAAGGCCTGTGCTTCAGTCTGGACCCTGCCCCTTAGGGATGTGTAATGGGGACAGTAATCCCACTTGACATTACAGGGTAGCTGTGAGGATAGAATGAAATATCTTAGGTCTGTGGTTGGCAAACTGCGGCTCGTGAGCCACATGTGGCTTTTTGGCCCCTTGAGTGTGGCTCTTCCTAAGCCTGAGGAGTACCCTAATTAAGTTAATAATGTACCTACCTATATAGTTTAACTTTAAAAAATTTGGCTCTCAAAAGAAATTCCAATTGTTGTACTGTTGATATTTGGCTCTGTTGACTAATGAGTTTGCTGACCACTGTCTTAGGTGAATGTAACTTCTAAACTGTAAAGCCCAGTATATGTTATTGTTACTATTAATCCTCACCCAAGGATATTTTTTTCTATTAATTTTTTTAGAGAGAGTGGAAGGGAGGGAGAGACAGAGAGACACACACACACACACACACACATTGACACACACACATTGATGGGTTGTCTCCCCTATGCACCCCGACTGGGGCCTGGGTTCAAGCCTGCAACCAAGGTATGTGTCCTTGAACAGAATCAAACCTGTGACCTTTCAGTCTGTGGGCCAATGCTCTGACCACAGCCAAACTGGCTAGGGCAAGCCCAGTATATATTTTTTTAAAATATTTATTTTAAAATATATTTTTATTGATTTCAGAGGGAAAGAGAGAGGGAGAGTGAGAAACATCAATGATGAATCATGGTTATTTGCCTCCTGCATGCACCCTACTGGGGATTGAGCCTGCACCCCAGGCATGTGCTCTGACTGGGAATCGAACTGTGACCTCCTGGTCCATAGGTTGACACTCAACTACTGAGCCACACCAACCAGGCTAGCTCAGTATGTGTTTGTTTTTTTTTTGTTTGTTTGGTTTTTTTTTTAAATTTTATTATTAGTTAAGGTATTACAAATGTGTCCTCATCCCCCCCATTAACCCCAACCTCCCCCCCCTCAGTATATGTTTTGATGCTAGTACTTCTCAGACTAGGTAGGAAGAATATTTTTAAGTTAAACCACAGTAAACGTCTTAAGAAACAAGTAGCCTAGTTGTGAAACTGTTCCTTTTTCTTTCCAGTCTTCAAGCAGTGACAGTGGCGGGAGCAGCAGCAGCAGCAGCAGCAGCATCAACAGCCCGGACAGGGCCAGTGGGCCAGAAAGTAGCTTGAACCACATCGTCACCGGGTCCAGCCCCAACACCCCTCAGCCCGCACCTGAGCAGTCTGCACTATGCCAAGGCCTTTACTTCCACATCAACCAGACCCTGAAGGAGGCCCACTTTCATAGCCTACAGCACCGAGGCCGGCCTCCGACATGATGGGCTGGTGGTTTCTTGCCTTCTGTGAAGGGACAGCGCTGTGCAGATTTGATATTTCATCTTACGATGTTTTAAAAAATTGCACAAAAAATGCCTGTTGGCTTTCCACTCTATATTTGAAATAACAGGTTAACAGGCAGTTGTTTACTTGTGGTTTTGCTGCACTATTGCAATTTTAAAGGGGCTTTGAAGCAATTTTTTATAGGATTCTTTTGAGGGTGGGTATCAAATCCATGTCAAGGTAATGGTATGAGGAAATCTCATCTGCGTGTTGAGTCCATAGTTTGTCCAATTCAGATTGATTTCCAAATCTGTCAATTAGAAATTCTACTTTATGTAAAAAGGCCTTTTAAAAATGCGGGATCTTCAATTTTTTAAATTCAATAAACTAGTAAAGAGTATGTAGTTTCCATGAAGAAACATACATTTTTTCCAAAATATAGACCTTGATTCAGTCTTGCACTGAAATTGCCATACTACCTCTTAGTATGTAGCTGTGCGGTTGGAAATGCTCTCCTTTGTAACAGAGTCAGGTCCAGGTGGAGCTGTGTATGCGAAGCACCCTCCCCAGTGACTGTCTCCTCTCTGCTGTGTATTTGTGTTTCCAAGAGAATGGCTTTCAGGTTCTTGTATATGCAGATAATTGTCACCTTATTGCTCAAAGCCTACATCTCCGATTGGGTAGAAAACATTGCAGCTCCGACAGTCAAGAAATATGTAATGATTTTTTGTCTTACATACTTGTTCTCTCGGCAGCTTACGTGATCTCACTGATAATTCTACCCTGTAGCGTCGAGAATGGCAGCGTTGTTGAATGCTGACAGTGTAAGCTATCAGAACTGATGTCTGAAGTCACAGTGCTGTGAGACTGTTGGCCAAGGATTCCCTTTAGAATTGAAGTGACCCCGTTAACAGTAACTAGGGGCCGCATTCCACCACTGAGACTGGACAGACTAGTGTGGCTTAGAAACAGATGAGCAGAGGCACCGTTAGTAGAAATGATGCAGTAGTATTTATTTAGAGAGTGATGGCCATGTCCCATGTTACTTAGTCATACTAGAGAGCCAACCAAGTTTGAATAAGGAAGGTGTAGAGTCTTCGTCCTCACTGACAAACTGTCTGAATAAGGAGCCGGGATGCGTCGGGTCATCTGCTCGGGAGAGTGCCGGGGGGACAACCTGCCATGGCATGGAGAGGAAGTGCCTTAGAGTCCACCCAGATCCTCCTGCCTGCTCACCCTCCGCCACGCCCCCACCCCACTCCGAGTGCACACAGCACACAGACCTGAGAAGCACGGGCAGCTCTAGTTCAGGGGATTGAAGAGGACATGGGGACGACTAAACTTTGCAGATGGAACTACTGTAGGAAAGGGTAAATCTACGCCTTTCCGTGGTGGTTCCTCTACTATGGACAGAATGTAAAGGTCAGTTACTTGAAGCAGGAATTTAGAATTGGGGAGGGAAGTTACTGCACAGGCCACTGCTTATGGAGTAAATGGTTTGTGCAAGAATTTTTTTTTACTACCATCTCTCAAGTTTTAAAACCAGATGTTTGACAAGGATTTTGGATCTTAATGGATTTGTGGCAGGGATGTGGAAAGGATTCATTGCTATTGTTTTGTCTAGCAATAAAGTAAACAACTAAATGCTATAAGAAGCCAGCATTTGAGCTCTCAAACACACATGTATACAACACAATGCAGAAATACCCAGGACTCCTCCTGCAGGCTAATGGATGGCAACCTCCTGAAACAAAACGTGTATTAACAAGAAAATGTAAAACTCAAGAAGGCAAATTTCCTTTTATTTACCACCCAAGTAAAAGAAATGGAAGATGAAACCATCACCAAAACCAACCTTTTTTTTCCCAAACAAGTATAACGATAGTGCTGGGTTAGCAGTTCACTCTCTTATCCTACAAAACCCAAGAACAACCTCCTTCCTGTCCTGCAGATCTCCAGCCTCGGCAGCCTGAGGTCTGTTTCTATGATGCTACTTGATAGTGTAAATGAGCACCTTTTAAACCTCGCAGCTCAAGCTAGTAAAGCCTGTACTTCTATACTGCGCCGCCATTAAAAGCAGCATTAGTGCATTTTGTCATCCAGTTCTTTATCGATTCTTTAAGGGGAGCCGATTGGGTGGTTTGGTGGGAAATGGGACAGGATCCATAGGGATGAAGCTTTTGATTTCTGCACTAACCTGGGCTTTGGATTCGATGCTTCTGCTGGTTGATTTGGCCTTTCGAGTGCTTGTCATGCTGAGTGGAAGAAGTCCAAACCTCCAAGACAAGATGAAGGCATTTCAGTGGCATGAACAGGAAGCTGGGGGCCAGCAGAAGCCTGGTGGGATCGTTACCTGATCTGACTCGATGCCAGCGGCAGTATGTTATGGGGTTCTTGCGAGTTGAATGTGCTGCTCCTGGGGGCGAACTGATTCTCTGTACCAGTAACCAGTCCAAATAGAACCTGACAGACAAGAAGGGGGTACAAAAACACGGTGGGTTTATTGGCCAGTTTAAGCTGCTGCTGTCAGTAGTCAGTCACTTTGTGATCACCATCATTTTGGGGAACGTTCTTTTCAGTGTGTGAATGCTTAAAAATTACCACCTGTCAGAATCTCAGTCACATGGCTCTTTTATTCCTTTCTGAGGCCTGGATAAAACCTGAATAATCCTTATCTACCATGAATGGGGTCAGATCTCAGCAGTGAGATCTTACCTAATCCTCTTTCAGTCTTCATAACTAACCTCAGCTTGCGTCCTGCCCCGCCCCCCACCCCCTCCTCCCCAGCACTGCCTCCAGGAGCGATAGCACTAGAGCGGGTTTATCTTTCACAGGGACTGGCTTACAGAAGTTCGCTGCACCAGGCGTGTGAGGTTACTGTTGAGGTGTGGTGTGAACACATCCAGGTCAAAGGGATCAATGAGTGCTTCCAAGTAGTCAGTCACTTTCTCAATTCTGAAAAAAAGGATAAGGATTAGGATGATGAGTCTCCAGTTTTTAGGACAAAAACCCATTTTCTGGTACTTGAATGCTATGGAAATCCTGGAGCTGGATTTATTCTTAATTGCTGGCTCAGCACCACTCGTTACTAATTGTTGTGCTTAATAACCCTCAAGAGTGTGAGCTGCTGGGATGTCTAAGTCAAGTCCATTTTTCCCATGCTGTGTTTGGGGAGGGCACTGGAGGCTCCAATTATACCCAGCAGTTGGTAGGCTGTCTGGAGAAGAGGAATGAGATCCCACTTACTCCGCCTGGCCGTGGAATGTATCCAGCAGCTGGTCAGTATTTATCTTGCTGGCAACAGGAGCTTCCTGTCTAAAACAAGCACAGCTCCTGTGCAGCGCGGCTGGCTGGTGGCTCCCCGGGAAAGGGGCTGCTTGCATTGGGCAGAGGCTGTATTGGGAGAGCTGGGGTGAGGCTACCTGGAGTCATGTTTGCTGCGGCCACTTTTCACCTCTTCACCCTTGGCTGCGAGCACAGTGCTGAGGTACCGCAGGTCGTAAAGCAGCTGCAGCGCCCGGTTCTGGGTCATTGGAAATGCACCTTCTCTCTGCAAACGAATGCCCCGCCCATTAAAGGAGATGACTTCTATGCACATAATAAACAGCGTCACGGGTTGGTTGAGTCCCAGCTTATTTCAGAAGCAGATGTTTTTTCCATTCATACCTCTTTAATCTCACAACAAAACAGGTTAGAAACTTGGTCTTAAAACCCAACCGCAGGGAGGACCCAGCCCTTAAGAAAGGTCTCAGGTGCTGGAGATGGTCATTTTAAAGGGAAAACGCCCCTTGCATGAAGGAGAGGCCTTGTGAGCAAGCCCAGGAGAGAAGGCTTACCTGAATTCTTCCCAAATTGGGAGGTGGGCCTGTCTTAAAGTGTTACTAAAGAAGTGGGCATACGCCACGAGGGCAGAATGCTTCCCAGACCGTGGGTGAGAGGGGAGAGGGGGGGCAGGGACTCAAATACCTCGTGTGCCACGGCTGTGCTTTGTAATCCTTCCAACATCCTCCCAGCCCCAGAGAAGTTTAGTTTAAGAGGCCACATTTGATCCCGAGATGTAAATGATTCGCCCCAAACCCCGGTGTGTGACTGCCTGGTCAGGAGGGGTCTTTGTTACTCTGAGGCCTTCCTCCTCCCACTGTACTGACTGCCTTTTTATGAAGACCTGCCTGACCCCTGAGGACGGTGTAATTAAACTCGCAGCCACTACGAACTCAACAGCCTGGGCTCAGCACTCAGAGTCCTTGCTGTGCGCTGCCTAGAGCCCAGAGAAAGCTCAGGTTTATTTCAGTGTTTAATGGAGAAAACTTCAAACACCTACCTTCATCTCTTTTCCTTCTGAGAGTTTCTCATAGGCAGCTACTACTTGAGCCACACAGTTTTTCAGCATCTCCTGCAGCGTCACCTTGGGCAAGGCATGGCCTCCAACCCGATTAATTTCCTGGCACAAGCTGAACAGGAAGGACTGCACATACCAGGACGGCTGAAAGAACAAAGGAGCACCGAGTCGCCAACTTGCACCGATTAAATGAGGTGCAGTAAATATGGGTCCATCTTGCACCGATTAAATGAGACGCAGTAAATACAGGTCCATCTATCCTGGCTTCACACCAAGACCTTGACCTCTCCAATCAGCCCCTCTCACAGCCCAGCTAACAGATCCGAGTGGCACTGGCTGTCACTCCCTCGGTGGCACCTTTTTACGCTGCTGTTTTCACTAAAGGGTAAGTGGTTCTCTAATTAGCAGGGCCTGTGCTACAAAAGGGAAGAATCATAACGGACTCTGGAGCAGTCTATCTACTTGGCCCCATGGCCACTTGGCCTCCCCCACCCCCAGCAGAAAGTTGTAACTATTACTTGCAGCTCACCCTCAGCAGCTGACCATTAGTGATTTTCTAAGCTCTTTCCTTTCCTCAGAGCAGGTCTCAGTCCGGCTCTGACAGGGGCCCTGGCTTACCTGGATAGGGAGTCGGATCTTGGATGTGATGCTGCTGCCAGACTCCGCTTCCTCCTGAATTTCTAGTTCATCCCAGCTGGTGGCCGTGGCCAGGACTGAGCCAGCATCATCTGAAAGTAATGACTGGGCAAATCCATGAGCTAAAACCTGGTAATAAAAGGCAGATGCCCAGAGAGGCCACTCAGATCCTGCAGAGTTTGTTTCAGATTCTAGAGCTTCTGCTGCTTAGGTCACGTGGGGTGGCAAGTGGCAAATGTCACTCTTCTCTTGGCTAATTACTGGTATCGGCAAAGGGAATGTTGTTGCTAACTACTCTGAGAGTGTCAGCTCTTAAGACAACAGCAGAGACTATAGGGAACATATTTAGGGTGCAGAGCAGGAAGTACAGATCCATGTCCAGAGAGAGGGCCTTTCTCATTAGATGGAAGGGAAAAATCACCAGGGTTTCTGTCTAAGTCCAGACTAAAAATGAATGGAAGAGGTTTGACATTTGCTCTGTGTGGCAGAGAAAAGTGAAAGTAAGTAACTGTATGGAATACGAATTGTTATTCCCTTTCTGTTAAAAGATCAAGGTTGGCAAGACTGGACTATAGTGAAAGGGAGACGATGAGGATGAGTGGGGAGTGAGACAAGTACGTGGCCGCGCTACTCACTTGCACCACCGCCGAGCTCCAGACCCGGTAGCTCATCACACTCTGCTGCAGGAGGAGCTCCTTAACTTCCTGCCACTGGGCCTGCGTAGGTAGGACTTTCTCCGTTTTCCCCTTTCCTTGTTTTTTCAGAGCCCTGGAATCCCTTGCTGGTTTCTCAGAGCTCCCAGACTTTCCCAGGATGCACTGCTTCAGGTGAGGACACAGTTCTCCCAGGGACTGGCAGAGCCTGGCCATGAAAAGGACCGCATGCAGCTTGTCACGGCCCAGGGCCTTCTGCGGGCCGTGCACAGCTTCCTCGATGCTCTGCAGCTCGGCCCGGACGCAGTCCGTGATGTGCTTGATGCAGGCCACCGAGTGCGTCCGCAGCATCTCCTGCACAGTCCCGGCGTCTGCGTACCTGTCGAAGGCACAGCTCTTGGCTGGCACGGGGGTGACCTCCTTGGGCAGTGACGAGTCGTCAGAGGGAAGGTAAGCCAGGAGGTCATCCAGTTTCACCTTCAGTTTAGCATCTAGAGCAGCGCAGAAGTTTTGTACACAAGGGCTGACAGCTTGAGCTTTCATGGAGAGCCCACTGCTGCCAAACGGGCCCCGGCTCGCCACGCTGACCCAGGCGGCATCGGGAGGCAGGTCACCGGGACTCTCGGACCACAGGAAGAGAGACATGTTGTGCTCAAAGTGGATGTGCTTGTTGGAAGCGGACTTGCTGGTGCTGCTCTCGAGCTCCTGCAAGGCGGAGGTGAGGAGCTGCCTGGAGCTCATGGAGATGGAGTCAAAGCCCTCTTTTGTCAGCGTCTAAAACAGAATGAGAAAAGCAATTCCTTTCAGAAATCTCAAAACAAGAGGACCACGTGGCAGTCCATCCAGCGTTCCGAATGTTCTCCACCAGGCTCAGATGACATGACGCTGGCAGCGGACAAAGTCATCGCTGATGGACAGACACGTTCCCGACCGCCCGACAGAGGCCTGGGCTCTTCCAGCACCGAGGTGGGATCTCTGTGCAGATCCGGAAGAGAACCCCCTCCCCACCCCGGAAGGCATGCTGGGACTCCCTGGAGTAAGTCCGCAGGGAAAGAACACACTGAGGACACGTCAGGACTCAACCCAGTCACAGATCACACTAGGACTGGCTTAAAACCGACTGCCCACGGTACCTGTAATCGGTCAAGGAACAACTGCTGCATCAAATCCTCCCACAACGAGAGGGGCTTCTCCAGAAGCCGCCGGCACACCACGTCCCAGCTGCGGCTGGTGGACTCGTTGGTCAGTAGTTCCCACACGGCGTCCCGGATCCCCGCCAGGCCTTTCATGCTCTTCACGAACATGAGCAGGCTGGTGATCCCGTTTTTAATGTCTTCCTTGCACCTGCAACACAATCATTTTCCTTAGGCCTCATTGGATTCGTGATTCTACACCTTTGTTAAGAGCAAGAGCAGGCCTCCATTTGAAAACCTCCAATTACATAAATGTACTTCTCTCAGAGCAGTTACAAATACACATGAACACAGCGTTTCGGGCTGGATGCGGGGAGAGCCTGTGGCCCTTTCACCAGGCCTACCCTTGCTTCTCTGAGGCATCTGGAAGGAAGTCCGGAGCCCTACAGAGTGTCTTCAAAAACGAAATAGAAGTTCAGGGTGGCAGGACTCTTACATAAAGAGAATTTAAAATCCTCTACGTAGTATTTTGAAAGACAGATTCCTTCTTGGTTCCCCACAGTAGGGGGTATCCTTCCATGAAGCTGGCGACAGGTGGCTGAGTGAGGCGCTGACATGACCTAGTGAGCGGTGTGCAGAGCATCATCCAGGTCAGGCTTGTCCCTCACTCATCACTGGCCCTATGGCCACACACGAGGCTGCCAGGGTGGTGCCTGCCGGCCTCGGGAAAGCTCTGGCTACTCACATGTGGATCCATTTCTGCAGCGTGTCAGTTAGGTACTCCTGGCTGATGGGATGTGCGAGGGTCCGCAGAGCCGGCCGGAACTCGACAATGGATGCCGGCAGGTGCTTGAACCAGCTGCAGAGCTTCATTTCTTCTTGGAGAACGCCGATGCCCTTTTCTAAAGAGAAGGCCAAGTGAGAAGGAACCGGGCCATCCTCTGAACAGCATATTAAAAAATGGACCTAGAAGGAATTTCCACAGACCATCTAGTCTTCCTCTGGGCAGGGCAGACTGGAGCCCTGGAAAAGGCGGGGAAGGGAAGTACAGAGTATGTCCAGGGCTTCCGTCATCAGGGAGCTGGCAGCTTCCCTCCAACTCCGGTCGTCCTATTGGCTGAGAAGGCAAGGAAAGCGAGGAATGGAATGGGGAAGAGAGAGAAGTACTGGGTGCTGTGCAGCCCTCGACATTTGCAAAGTAGAACTTAAGTTGTCAAAAGGTGTGTTTCCTGTTTCTCACCATCCTCCAACCTCCCTTGAAGATCTGAGGGAAGAACTGATGGCCACTCATCCTGGTCAGTGAGTTGCAGCTCTTCAGAGGTGACGGCTCCCTCCAGCAGGGCAGAGGCCCACGCTGTGCAACTCCGGGAGGCCCACTCGTGCCTCAGGGCCTTTGCACATCCTCTTCCCTTTGCCTGGCACTCTTTTCCTTGCCTTCTTCACCTGACTAAGTCTTACTCAGCTTTTAGGTTTCAGTTTAAATATCACTTCTCCAGTGCAAGTAACATTGGTGAGGTCCCTCATGTCAGTGCTCCCAAGCTAACCTGTACTTCACCTTCACCTTCAGAGCAAAGACCAATACTGATATGAAACAGGTACGTGTGTATTTGAGTTCAAAATCTGCCTCTACCACTAGACTGTTGCCTCTACAAAGGTGGGTTCCATATTTGTCCAGTTCACTGCTGTATCCCCAGAGCCTAGCATAGTAGCTCGCAGATGGCAGATGCTCAATAAACATCATTTGAATGAACCAGAAGATAAAAAAGGTTGGCTACGAGCTTACCAGTAGGATGCTGGCCTGTGATGGTCTCCAGAGTTGAGAAGAGCAAGCCACATGGCAGGGATGGGTCTGGCAGCAGCCCTTCCGGTAAAGTGTAGAAAAGAGCATGCGCTTGGTTCAAAGTGGTGGCCAGCAACTCCACTAATGAGCAAATCTGAGCCTTGACACCAGCACCTATGAGAAGAAACCATCCTCTTCAACACTCTCCTTTAGTCAAGTGAGTAACAGAAAATGCTCTGGATGCTTCAGTCTCCCTCAGCTCATCCTCCCCCATTCCCGTGGTACCCACCGTGGTGCGGCTGGTTGAGAAGTTTCTGAATAGCTGCCTTTCTGGCCAACAGGAAGTCTGCCAGGGCTTGGCGAGGAGAACTCTCTTCTAGGAGCATTATAGAGCACAGGGCCTCCGCCACTGCTTGGTCCGACCCAGCCTGGCATTTGAGCAGCATCTTGCTTTCATGCAGAATGGTTGACCTAGAAAGATGACAAAGGTCACCAGGGGACTTTTCACATCTTGAGACAAGAGCCTCGGTGCCCCAGGAAAGAAGACGTCTTCCACAAAGCTGTGGCGGTGAAGCGCAGCCCTCACCAGAGAGCTTCATGCTGGACCCACCTACCGGAAGTGGCTGGCCGCTGCCACCTGCCGGATGAGTATGGGGAAGCGGGAGAGGACAGGGCTGTATCGGGAGCCGGAAGAATCCAGCTGGAGCAGGCTGTGCAGGTGGCAGCAGAGCAGGTACAGCTGTGTGGCGTGGAGGTACTGGGAGGCTTCCATCGAGCTCCAGATCTTCTCAGGGATTTCTAAGAGGAGCTTGATCTGGGCAGCCATGCTGTAGAACTTCTCCCGGGCTGGCTGTGGCTACAGGGAAAGGCACAGGGTCAGAGGAACAAATGAAAGCAGGGGCGGTGTTCGGCAGGCTGCAGTGTGGGGGCACTTTAGGGTTCACAGCTTTCAACGAGCCTGATGCAGCGCCCTTCAGCAAGGCATCAAAGCGCAGTGCAGTGGAAGTGGGGAGTGCTATGCAACCCCACTGGTTTCTCCTACCTGTGGCGTGCCACTTTGCTCAGGCCCAGGGAGAGGCACACTGACTCTGGTCATCTCAGTCTGGTTACCACTGCTCCCGTGATGTCTCAATAGCACGGAGCCCTATGGACCCCTCTAGAGTGTACTTCTCCTTCCCTTTTCAGGTGTTCAGCCTTCCTACACCTCCTGCTGCTTCAAGTGCATCATGGACTTCCTTGCTGGCTGTTCTATTCACCAGCCCTCCACCAAATCTTCACTTGTCTCGGTCCTCATGCTCCACTCCTGTCAGTCTTGTTCTTTTACTTCAGCAGACTCTTCCCTCAAGCATCACCTCTAAGCAGATCACTACTACCACATCTTTATCTTTAGTCCTCGTCACTCCTCTGAAGCCCAGTCCAGCCTTTTGTGCTGCTGCCTGGTAGGTGTCACCACCCTTCCATTATCAGTATCCTTAAAACTAAATTCATCTCCCTAACAACCATCTTGGCCATCTCCTCCTTATCTATCTTAGCACACATCACACTCTACTGCTAACTTCCCAGGAAGTTCATGTCCTTCTGATGGGCTCTTTTGATATCTTGACCATGGAAGTTTCTGTTACACTTCCACGACTCTAATGCAGGTCATCATCATGTCACCTCACACGCAGATTAACCCCAAAACATTTAGCCTGTGCTGTGTTCATTCACTACTCCTCCAATCTACCTTTTTCCTTTGCTGTCAAGTTTACCTTCTTCAGCAGCTACTTAGATATTATCTTTGCTTGGTTCTAAAGGCTCCTCACTGCTTTGTATCAGCCTTGGTGGTCAAGGGTTCCCATCCTCCACTACTTTCGTCCAGGGGCCCTGGAGTCCGTTGGTTTGCATGTGTGGGGCAGAGGGGCGATTTCATCTCCCAGGGAACATCTGGCAGTATCTGGAGACATCTGTGATGATCACAGTGGGGGAGAGGGAGGGTGCTACCGGCATCTAACAGATGGAGGCCAGGAATGCTTCCACACATCCACAGGACAGCCACTCCCACAAAGAATGACCCGGCCCCAAATGTCAACAGCACCAAGGGGAGGAACCCTGCTTTCATTCAATTCATTAGCAGCTTTAATTGTCTTTATACATTTCAGACCCACAGTCCAAGCCTCCTCTGTCCTTAAGGCCCCTCTTTGCTGAGGAGGAAGGACCGAGTTTGAAACGACTTTCTTCGGAAGTCTTAAGGTAAATGTGCACCATTATTTTGGGGACAGATCACCATAATGCTGAAATGTTTTCTACTGCGACTGTACATTGTTTACATTTTTCTTATAGATTGTAAGCTCTGTCAGAGCAGGAACTGGGGGACTTCCATTTCTTTGTGCCTTAAAGAAAGGCAACGTTTGGTGGGTTTAAGTCAGATATAGCAACTATAAAAATAAATACATTTCTAAAAGCAAGCAAGAGTACATTAATTTACTAATAAACCTTGAAGCATGACTCAGTTGTAACAAAGGCTGGCCACGTAGGGAGGGACATATACTCCGTGTACAGCTTACAGAGGAATGAGGTCACTCATTTCAAAAATCAGCTATTTTCTTAACTTTTTTTATTATTATTGATTTCAGAGAGAGGAAGGGAGAGAGGGATAGAAACATCAATGATGAGAAAGAATCATTGATCAGCAGCCTCCTACACGCCTCTACTGCGGGTTGAGCCTGCAACCCAGGCATGTGCCCTGACCCAGAATTAAACAGAATCCAATGGTAACCTCCTGGTTCACGGGTCGGCGCTCAACCACTGAACTACACCGGCCCGCCCCAGCCTTCTATTGTGCGAGCCCAGCCTACTGACCTGACTTCCTCTAAAACCCGGGTTATATTAAAAACTTCCAACATGGAGCTCCATGGTACTTTGGCAGTTTCTCCTTGCATGTCGCTGTAAGGTTCTCCTCCCAGGTTTTTAAGGACAAATTCCTCGTTTACCTTTCTCGCCCTCGCGCCCTATTCTTTTCAAGCTGTCGCTGTCCCTAAGTCCGCACTGTCCTCCGAACACAGAACACAACACGCTGCTCCAACCTGAGGGTGTGCTCGGGCTGCGTCCTTCCACCGCAGGTCTAATTGGCGGTCGGAGGAGGGAGCGCTGGGGCTCACGGATGGGAATGACCTGAGCGCAGGGACGGGAATGTGCCGCCGTTACAGGGACGGCCCTCCAGCAACGGGTGGCCTCGCTACTTGGGGACGGGGTGGGGCAGGCTGGTATGCGCAATGAACAGCACTGAACGGCTGGCGGGACGATGTCAACGTGAGAAACCTGTGCTAAGAAGAACGTCAGGAAACGTCAGGGAGAAAGCCGCGCTGTCAGGCGAGGGAGACCCCTGGCGTTTCCCGCTAACGTCGGGCTGGGAGCCCGTGGAACCCACGAGGGGGCGAGGGCTTCCCGGTCGGAAGTCGGGGAGGCTCCCGCAGGAGCCAAATGGCCTGGCGGGTGGGTCAGCAGCCAGCGGGAGGCCTGCCGGCCGCGCCCCCAGCAGAGGAGCCCCCGAAGGGGCGCACGCTCCCCCCGAGAGCAGGTGAGGCTGCGCGCGGGCGGGTCCGCGGGAGTCCGCGCGCGGGGGTGGCGGGGCTCGGGACTGACCTGCGGGTCCCGCGGCGGCCGGGGCGCGGCCGAGCCCGCCTGGCGGAGACGCGCGCAGTACTGGTCGGTGGCCTTCACGGCGTCCACCAGCCCCTCGGCGCAGCGGCGCATCTGGCCGATGGTGTCGGCCGCCTCGATCAGGTCGCGGTACCGCTCGCCCACCATCTGCCGCAGCTCCTCTTTCTTGTGCTCGATCTCGGCCCGAACCTGGCGCTCCAGCCCTCGGATCTCCTCCGCTCCGTGGGTCTCGAAAAGCGCCGCGGGGTCACGCAGATCCAGCCGCTTGAACGCGGCGGAGGTGGCCGTGGCCGCCATGATGGACCCGTCAGCCGCCCCGCAGGTCACTTCCGCCCGGTGGCCCCGCCGCGGGCGCCATCTTGGTTAGGGGCGGAAGTACTTCCGCCCCGCAGGCAGCAAGGTCTGTTTCCGGCGGGCGCTGAACGGCTGAGGCCCTGCGCGGCGTTTTTAAAAATGACAAGGCTGACAGGCTGTGTGTGGGCCCAGCCTCACGGGGATCTGAAGCCCTTCCCAGCGCAAGGGGGAGCCTTTCCTCGTCGGAGTTCATGATCGTAATCAAACACCCGGCGTCGGGTTGTGAAGTCTCAGGATGCTCCCGTCCCTCCCTGGGCCTGTCAGGACCCCGGTCAGTGGTCGTTCCCCGGCGGCGAGGGGCTGGCGCTCTCGGTCGGTCCCTTTCCCTCGGAACCCCACAGGCTCCCGGCGTCCGGGGCCATCCGGAGCCGGGTGGACGCCAAAGCCGGCCGCTGGTGCTGGACTGCGGCTGGCGTGCAGCGAACACTGCTCCCTGCTGCGGCGTCTTTGCGGCTCATTTCCCGTGGTCCTGAGCCTAATGCTGTGGTAGGAAGAGACGTGTGAGTCCGCGTTTGTTCTTTGGAAAGAGTGACCTCACGGGGGCTCTGAACCGGGACGGGGCGCAGGGACAGGCTGCCCTCCTCCAGGGGCTGTGTGCGCACTGGTTTTGCTTGTTTTTCTATTGTTGTTGAATACGTTGGTTAGTTCTTTGGGGGTTTTCGTTTCAAACTAGTGTTTTGCCACTGAAGGTGTTCCCCTGATACGGGCTTCCCTTGGCACCGCCAGCCCGGGAGGAGGGGCTGGGAGAGAGGGAGGGCCACAGTCCTGAGAAAACGGTGCCCAGGAGGGTGGTGATGGTGGAGGCATCCGTCACCTGACACCAACTCAATAATAAAATTTGGAGAGTGTGGCCTGTTTCTTCTAGGTATTTCTGTGACACTTCATTAAAAACACACACACACAAACATTTATTGAAGGTTTCTATACTGATGTAGAGAGAATGCTATAATGTGCCTACCAGCTAGGTATACTTAGTAATAACTCAAGGTCAGTCTTACCTATATTGCTGCCCACTTCCTCTCTCACCCACCACCTCCATTATCTTGATGCAAACCCCAAACATAAAATAATTTCAATCTGTAATCAAGCCATCCTATATAATAAAGAGGTAACATGCAAATTAACCCTTACGCTGTCACAAGATGGCTGCACCCACAGCAGAGGCGGGTTCCCGTAACAAGCGATTAGGGACCTGAGGCTGCATGGCACCAGGCTGGGTCGGGGGACCTGAGGCTACGCCCCCCACCTGGCGGGGCTTGAGAGGGGTGGGGCCGGCTGGGTCTGGATCTCGCCCAGTGGGGGTGGGGCTGGCCAAGTCTGGATCTCGCGCGATTTCAAGGTGCACGCAGGTGGGCAGGGACTGGACTCTGGGTCCCACGGTGTGCCCCAGACTCTGACAGGAGGAAGGTTTTCATATACATTTTACTAATTTTCTTTCATCTCTGACACTTCTATTATAGAGAAAGGGCAAATAGCAATATTAAAATATTTCCTCTAATTAATTCCCTTTTAATGTGCGTGAATTTTGTGCACCGGTCCACTAGTTCATTTATAATATTCAACTTTAGCTCATAGTAGTCCTACAATGTAGGGAATATTCTCATTTTACAAATGGATAACCTGGGACCCTCAGAGGCAAATGGATTTACTCAGTAATAGTATAATTTTCAAAGCCTGTTCAACAAAATGATCTGATGTACCAGGTTGGTATGAATAATTATTCTATGTATGACAAAAACCCAGAAAGCTCATTTATACCTGCCCAAGTTACGTAGCTAATGAGTGACAGAATCAGCCCTTGGACCTAGGCTTTTGAATTCCTGGCTCCTTCCTTTCCCACTTTGTCACACAACTTCTCACAAACTCAAAAAACACTCCCCGGTGATGGATCTGCAATTTGCTGTCACTGCATCCCATTCTGTAGGGGACCCTTGTCTGTGCTTGGCTGCCCAGCATCTGCAGAAAATCTCTTCTGTGTCTGGGGAAGTCGTTTCTGTATGGCAAGATCTTTTCCCCTTAGAGCTACTCTGTTATCGGCCAATCAGACACAACCACCTAGGACTTTAAATGGAGAGCTAGTGGTGCCACGAAGCAGGGACAATGGAGATCTCACCGTTGGCAGAGGAAGCACTGGTAGCAGCCATTCTCTGAGACATCCAGCTGCCGGGCCCAGCCCCCAGTGCCGGTGGCAGCAGTGGGTGACCGCAGTGATAGCCTCCCGGGTTCTGAATGTTTAGCTCCCTTTGTTCCTCTCTGCCCCCTGAGCCCAGTTCCCTACCTTCCCGAGATTCTGAGTTGTCTAATATCTTAATGACAGATTTCATTTCATTTCATTTTCAGTTTTGGTTGCCAGCCCTAGAGGCTGTGCTGACACGCTCCCCAAGTTTCCAGCTCCATGAGTTTGTCTGATGTCCTTTTTAAAAAATGTTTTGTTGTTGTTGTTGTTGTTGTTTTAGAGACAGAGGAAGGGAGAGGGATAGAGAAATAGAAACATTGATGAGAGACTGGGAATGGAACCAGTGACCTCTTGGTTCATGGGTTGATGCTCAACCACTGAGCCACACTGGCTGGGCTGCCTGATGTGTTTCTAACAGCCAGAGCAAGGAATGTCAACATATCAGTTAGGGCGTGGGGATCTACGGGCTTGTTTACGGTGGCTTGCACTTGTGCACACACCTGTCTTTACAGGTGTATAGAGAAGAGGCGAGCTCAGCAGCTGATGCCTCCGCTGTGGGGGCGTGTTCTGAAGGCAGTGCTTTCCCTAACCTTCCTTTCTGCTTCCCCGGCCAAGTTCATCTGCTGCCCTGTAGATGCCACTGTTGCTCTTCTGCCTGCAGGACCCAGCATCTAACAGCCTCGAAGGAACGGGCTTTGACTTTATACTCCCTGTCCTCTGCCTTCTGCCTTCTCGCCCTGTCGGAGCCAGGATTGGGCAGAGAGCTCAGCTTCAGCAGCCGGACTGGGTGCTGTGCTAGGAACAGACGGGCAGAGATGAGAACTAAAGTCTTTGTTTCCCCTCTTGGAGATATATGAGTAAAGCCCCCCCCCCCCACTCCTCGTTTTATTGCCATCAATTGTTTTGCTTTAAGGATGAGTGTGTGTGTTTGTGTGTGTGTGTGTGTATTGTGCAGTGACTCTTGATGTCACATTTTCTTCTTTTCACTTTAATCTTTAAGGGCAGAATTTTAAATATCCAATGTGAATTCAAGAGATAATATTTAGATCCTCCTGGGCCTCTGAAATCCAACCTAGTCATTCCACCAATTATAACAGCTGTAATTTGGGGCTCCATCTAGACACTTTGCATATATCATCTTTAATTCTCACAATAATCCTGCAGCTGAGGTGGTCTTACACTCACTCGATGGGTAAAACAGGTTCAGGAGGACCAAGGAACTGTCACAGCTGAGTCTGTCCTCAGGCCCTGGTCAGTATGACTCTAAAGTCCTTGATCTTTCTGCCTTGTCACCTTCTTAGCTTCAAAGAAAACTTTAGGACATCAAGAGACCATCGGATGAGCCAAACAATTCTGAGCAACATTGAGATGGTTCCCACACTGCTTCCTACCCTTTGCCTGAAGGTGGGTCTCTGCTGCCCAGCTGGCGTG